CCACACTTTCACAACTACTTCAATACATGTCAAATACAGTATAAAAGGCTCAAAAATCCCAATACAAAACTACAGGCTAGAAATGAGCTCACAAATAGTAAAAAGATAATTAATTATAAGAAGAGCACATACCTTTTTTTTTTTTTTTTTACAAATAATTGTACATAGATAACTTTTAAAATCTTACAAAAACATGCTTAGGATGATACAATTCTTACAAGAAAGTCCTTTGAATTCCCAAATGATACACTTTTAATATGTTCCTAGGGAGAGATTTTTTTTTCACCTGTAGGATTTTTCCATATTTTTTTTGGGGGGAGGGGGCAAGGGAAGTTGGTAAATGAAGCTTTTTAGCTGAATAATATGTTTTTACTTAAAACAAAATAGATTGAGGTTCTCTTATTAAAGAAGAGGAAATTTATGTTGGATAAGCAACTAAAAATGTTGGTAAAATCCTACAGGTGAAAAAAAAAAAAACAGAATGAGAGAATAATTAAATATCACAGTGCTAAGTAGCACATGTGAAAAATATTACAGGCCAAATAAATATACAGGTTTTGAAATAATTACACTAATTTCCCTGGAACATAATCCTTTGAAAATTAAATCTAAATGATTTCTCAAATCCTTTTTTTTCTAGATTCCAATCATTTGTCTCCTGAAAAAAAAAAAATGATGAAATATAAAGGAATTGTGAAGATTCACTTGAAGGGCTGGGGTTGTGGCTCAGCAGTGGAGCGCTTGCCTCGAACATGTGAGAACCTAGGTTCGATCTTCAGCACCACTTAAAAATAAATAAGTGAAATCAAGGTATTGTGTCCAACTACAACTAAAAAACAAATAAATATTTTTTAAAAAAAGATTCACTTGAAGATTATAGTTAATTATGAAATACTGTGTTTATGGACTAGGGATTGTAGCTCAGTGGTAGAGCCTTTGCTTAGAGGGTACAAATCCCTAGGTTCAATCCCCAATACTGTCCAAAAATAAAATAAATAAAATAAAAAAGTGACAAATAAAACTTCTGTATTTTAAAAGAACACCACACTAAGGGGGCTGCAGTAAGTGCTCAGTAGTAAAATGCTTGTCTGGCATGTGTGAGGCCCTGGGTTCAATTCTCAGCACCATAAATAAATAAATAAATAAATAAATAAATAAATAAATAAATAAAATAAAAGATCCATTGACAACTAAAAAATATTATATATTTAAAAAAAAAAAAGAAAGAAAGACACACCACTAAGAAAATGAAGACAAGGCTGAGTTGGCTGAGTGGGACAGCACTTGCCTAGTATGTGTGAGACCCTGGATTCAATTCCCAGCACCACTCACACACACACACACACACACACACACACACAGGAAGACAAATAAAAATACTTGTACTGAAATCATACACTACACCAGATGAAAGACTTATATGAAGAATGAATACACATATACCACTCTCTTTCCCTCTCCTATAAATCAGTAAGAAAACAAAACATAGCAATGGATAATCCAGACAGGCAAAAGATACTGTTATCAGTCATTAGAGAAATAAAAATCAAAACTACAGTGAAATACCACTTCATACCCACTAGGATGGCCATAATCCAAAAGACAGGACAGGGCTGGGGATGTAGCTCAGGGGCAGAGCGCTTGCCTAGCAGGTGTGAGGCACTGGGTTTGATTCTTAGCACCATGTATCAATAAAGAAAATAAAGGCCCATTGACAACTAAAAAAAATATTAAAAAAAAAAAAAAAAGACAGGGCTGGGGATATAGCTCAGTGGTAGAATACATGTGAAGTCCCAGGTTGAATCCCCGGTACCACATAAATGTATACAAGATAGCACACAGACAACAAAGCTGACCAGAATGTTGACAAATGGGAATTCTCATACATTAGTTAGAAGAATGTGAAATGGTATAACTACTTTGAAAAAAGATTGGCAGTATCTTAAAAAATTACCAAATTTATCATATGACTGAGCCATTCCATTCCTGGGATATACTCAAGGAAAATGAAATACGTTCACATGAAGATTTAATGTAAATTCTGATAGCAGCCTTATTCCAAATAGCCAAAAGCAGAAACAATCCAATGTCCATGAACCGATGTCCAAAAAAAAGGAACCATGTACTGCAACATGCTACACTACGATGAACCTCAAAAAACATTATGCAAAAAAATACAAATAAAAAAGACTACATATTATATGATTGCATTTATATGAAACATCCAGAGCAAATCTATAAAGACAGAAAGTAGATTTGTGGTTGCCTGGGGCTAAGGGTGGGTATAGGGAGTTACTACAAATGGACATGAGACATCTTTTTGGCTTGACAGAAATATTTTAAAACTGCCTTTGGTGATGACTTACCAACTCTGTAAATTTACCTTTAATCAGGTAGACTTTTAAAAAAATCATGTTATATGGATTCCATTTATGTGAAAAATTCAAAAAACACAATCTATAGAGGAAAAAAATAGATTTGTGGTTACCTGAGACTGGGGAAGGGAAGAGAGATTAACTATGAAAAGGCACAAGGGAATCTCATTGGGCAGATAGAAATATCCTAAAATGGGGTGATGGCAACAATTAATCAGCAAATCTACTAAAACACTGTTACATTTTATAAATAAAATAAGAACATTTTATAGTATTAAATGTAAAAGTTGTTTTAAAAAATAAAATAACTCTGTAAAGTTGTTTTAAAAAATAACCTAATCAAATCACAGTAGAGTTCTTAACCTTTGATGAGCCTTGGACTACTCTGTGGTTAATGGGATAAGAAGTAACCCTATCCTGGAGGACTCGATGTCACTCTCTATTGCCCATTTACAGACAATTTACGGTTCTGAGGACACCAAATTAATAATATCACTAACTCTCTAGAGCCGTTGCAACACTGAAATTCCATGACATCTCAACAACAAACATACTAAGAATGACTACAGCCACCCTTTCCACCTTAGAAGTATCCGTACCAGAAAATAAAGCAAAACTCCTCTTCTAAAGTAACTGTAGAGAGCCCTTTCTTTATTTTTTCTGTTATCATTTTGGAATCTCCCATTTAATCCCTTACTTCAATATGAAACCCTGATTAAGGGACCCAGAAGTAATCAATCAAAACAGAGATCTCGCTGGGTGGGTGGCACAGGCCTGTAATCCCAGCTACTCAGAAGGCTGAGCAAGAGGATAGCAAATCTGGGGAGAGCCTGGCAACTTAGTGGAGACACTGCCTCAAAATTTAAAAAAAAAATTTAAAGGCTAAGGATGTAACTTATGTTAAAGACTCCCAAGGTTCAATCCCCAGCACCCCTCCCCAAAAAGATCTAACTAGCTAAATCAATACATGTCAAAGACCCAACATGTAGCAAGGACACAGACCCAAGAAGTGACTTAAAGTAAAAGATATGGTATCTTTTAGATAAAACTTAGCTTAGGCTGTTTTAAAACCAGAGGCAAAGCCAGGCATAGTGGCACATGCCTGTAATCCCAGCAACTCAGGAGGCTGAGGCAGAAGGACTGCCAAGCTCAAAGCCAGCCTTGGCAACTTAGTAAGGCCCTGTCTGTCTCAAAATAAAAAATAAAAAGGGTTAGAGGTGTGGCTCAGTGTTTAAGTGCCCCTGGGTTCAATCCCCAGTACCAAAACAAACAAAACAACCAAGAGGCAAGAAAAGTGGGGGAAAAAAAAGAAAAAATTTGACATTTCTTTAAAACACAGACACAATGCTGATAACATTGACACCCCCCAAGACAGCTCAAGAGTCTTCAGTTAGTCTTTGTTATAAAACTAATTTTAGCACAGCATGCTGGCAAAGTAGACAATTCTTCCTCCAATACACAGGGGTCTGCTCATGTCAGCTGGATTGAGCCTCTGTTTAGCTAAACCCACCCCCTTTTGATTTCTAAGGTCACTTGAGTTATTGTTGTCCAACAAACAGTACCCTCATCCACAGTTCCCAACTTCCCCCTTATCACTAAGCCTCTCTGAAAATTACAATCCACCTTTGTGAAAGTTTTGATCTCTGCCAACTAGTATTCCTGGACCCCCTTCAAATTCACTCCAGCACAGCAGTCAGATCTATCAGATCGTGTCATATCCCTGGTTGAAGACCTCCAGTGACACTTAAAATAAAATTTCAAAATCCTTACATGGCTGAACAGGTCCCCCTTATCTCTATCTATGCCAGTCTTCCTTCGGGTCCTAAAACATATCAAGCTCTTTCCCTCTCCAGGGCCTTTGCATTCCTTCATCCTTCAGTTAAGTGGGAAAAACAAGTCTTCCCTAGCTCTTTTAAGACTCACTTCTCATCCTTCAGAGCTCAATTTAAATATCATTGCTTCAGAAAAAGAATTTTCCCTGAAATCACCCTAACTTGGTCTCCAGGTTACTCTCTATCAGAACATTTTATTTCCTTCCCGTCACCTGCTAAAAACCTGTTCTTTCTCTTTCTTTCTTTCTCTCTCTCTCTCTCTTTCTTTTTTTTGACTACTTAGGTAATGTATACCTCCCTGACCAGCAAATCCGTTGGAAGGAAACAGAAGTTGGGTCTACATTCCTCAGCGCAGTACCTGCAGCTTCCCCAGCAACCTCTGGCACTTCCTGGCGGGGTTCTCGAACGGATGCAGGAATGAATCTACCTCACAATCCCAGAAATAGGGGGCTCAGCCCGCAACTCCAATATCCCACTTCTCACACGACCCCCAAAAGGCCTCTCCCACACCTGCGTTTTTCTTGCTCTTCAAGACAATCTGTCGCTCGCGTGCAAGCATCTGTCAAATGTACACAAATCTTCCACGAGCCCCTCAAGCCCCACCCCACCCCGCCTCACACGCGCTCCACCAACCCCGTGCTTCATACACGCGCCTAACAAACCTCTGGCCCCACGAGCGCCCCTCCAATTCCCGTGAATGCTGCAATCCTCGAGTTCCCGCAGCTCCCCACGTTCCCGCGTGTCACCCGCCGCCCAGCGCGACGCCTCCCCTCTCAGCGGCGCCTGCTCTCACCGATCACCTCCTGCAGCTCATAATCGTCCCTGTTGATGGACCAGGGCAGGGCGCTCGAGTCCTCAGTCATGACGGCGGCAGCGGCTCTCGGTCCTCCCTCAAACTCGCTGACCTCTCTCGTCTCCTCGCCGCGCGGCTCCCCACCCCCAACCGCCGCCGCCGCGCCCCCACCAACTGCCTAGGGAACAGCCGCCGGTCGGACAGCGCCTGGGTGCGAGGTCACTGCACGGCAAAGCGACAAGGGTTCACAGCTGCAACGGATCTCGCCTCCTGGTCCTCCGCGTCCAGCACTCTTCGTCCGGGTCCACGTCCCAGCCTCGGCCTCCGCAGCAGCCGCAACAGAAGGTTCTCCTGGGCCCAACCCCTCTGTCCCGCCCTCCACCCGAGCCCCACGCACGGGCCAAACTTTCCCTTCTCCCTCCACCTGCCGACACGCAGCGCGCTGACGTCACCGCGCCGGTCACGCCCCGCCTCGGCCCCGCCTCCAGCTGCCATTTCAAGTGTGGCTGGTTACTTAGCAAGCAAGTAAAAACTCCAAGAAGTTGTAAGTTGAGGGTGAAAGGAAAGAAAGGTGAAAGAAGGAGTTCTTCAAGGGCATCAAAAATCCAAAGAAGAGACAAAAATACTACAGAGGTAGTGGGTAGCCACACTAAGCATGGCGACCAGAGAAGCCAAGTAAGGAGGGAGGAGCCACTTCTGGAGGCCGGGGCACGTTGCCGTCTCCGTCGTCGCATTCATTGGTTGGTTTGAGAAGGAATGAAAAGAGCAACGGGTGTGTGTGGATGCCAGTCACAAGTTTAGTCCCGCCTCCAGGCTCTCAGCTAGTGTCTTGGCGGTAGGATTCCAGTCCTTCAAGATGTTCTGTACTTTGCTCTCCTAACCCCTTTATCTGCAGTGACGTCACTACGTAACCGTCACACTCTGGAGACGTGCAAATTGCTCCTGAGGGTGTGGAGAAACCCAAGGGAGCGGCTGGGTGGGGTCGCTTTTGAGTGTGGACAACTGCCAACTAGGATTAAAGGCCCTGAGCTACCAGCCAGAGTGGAACCGGAAGTTTGCCCCGTGACGACATTTTTTTTTTCAAGCGGAAGTTCTCTGCAGCGTCCGACGCGGCGCGCCCTCCAGCGTCTTCTTGAATTGATCGAGTTCTGTGGGTTCTCAGCTTTAGGACTGGAGCTCAAACGAGCACCTTCCTTGCAGTCCTCGAGATCATCTATTTTTTTCCCCCGTGACGCGGCTGGGGCTGTTAAAGTGAGAGCCGGCTCACGCAGCTTGGGGTCATTTCAAAGGCCTTGAATTTTGTGCAGCCTCATTGAACCTCACTTTTCTCAGGTTTACTAGATGGGGCCACTGAACAATGCTTTGGTAGCATGGCCAAAAAGAAAACAAGCCTCAGCTGATAGGACTAGGTGCGAAACTTCTCAACTGAACACCTCAGTCCAAACACAGCCACCAAAGGAAGAGACCTTTACCGAGCCGCGCACTGGAAACCCCGTGCTGAGCCCTCCTGTAGGAAGTCCACTGACCGTGAAGGGTAGCAAGTCTCCTCCTGGTTGATGGGATTGGAGAACGTTTCATGGAAGCAATAGAGTTTGAGCCAGACCGTGGAAAGCTAACATGATTTCAACAGATGGAAATTGAGAGACCATTGCAATCATAGCAAAGGTGCCAGACTTCCAGAAGGCATGGCACAGCCCTTACTATAGAATTCGGTTTCAGCCATTAATACTGACACCTTTGTTACTGCACGTGCTACCTTTTTTCTTTTTGCGGGGAGAAGAGGAGCTACATCTGATGGTAAAAGTTAGAAATCTCAACGTTTGTGCCAATAGAAAGACCCACAAGCCAAAGATTAACTTGGGATTGTTAGGCTGTGTGAACCATGGACAGACCAGATTTTTGGTTTTTTCACATCCATGATATCGTATGAATAATAGTAAAGACTTCAGGGAAAGATTTGAAAAACCTTCCTTCCTCTCTTCCCCTTCCCCTGAGAAAAGGAACTACTTACTAATCCAATGGTGAAAATTAAAGATGTTATTTGGCCCACATTGTTGGGCAGTAACTATATGACGTCTATCTCCTGAACACACATGGGTTGATGCATTATTCAAACTAGAACCTCCTCTGCAGATCTGGTCATTTTATTTTCTCTGTGGCTTGATAGAGGTTACTATGATTTTTAATGAACAAAGACCTGGTGACTGTTCTAGGCCAGAAGTCCAAACCTCAACCCCTTTCTCAGCCTGTGGAGTATCTTCCCATGTGAGAATGCTGTCATAAACGGAATACAGTGGTGACCAAGGCAGCCTTAGTTCCTCTTTTTGTAGAGAATATGGTTTTCATAGAGAAGAGTAAACAACAAACAGATAAGTAATTTTAAGTTACAAATTATCATGCAGGAAAAAGGTAGTTATACTGTGATAGAGAATAATTAGGAAATCAGACAGACAAAGAGTGGGTGGTGGTGGTGGTTTTGGACCAGAGATTGAACCCAGAGCCACTGAGCCATGTCCCCAGTCCTTTTCATTGTGAGACAGGGTCTCTTGCTAAGTTATCACTAAGTTGCTTGGGGCCTCCATAAATTGCTAAGCCTGACTTTGAATTTTCAGTCCTCCTGCCTCAGCCTCCTGAGCCTCTGGGATTATAGGCATGTGCTACCGCCACTCAGTTAAGAGTGTTTTTAAAAAACAGGATTCAGGGGGATTTAGCCACATTTGAAGCTATTAATAATACTTGGTATTCCAGTTGTGTTGCTGGGCCAGGTGTGCTGTAATCCCAGCAGCTCAGGAGGCTGAGACAGGAGGATCACAAGCCTCAGCAACAGTGAGGCGCCAAGCAACTAAGACCCTGCCTCTAAATAAAATAAAAAATAGGGGTGGGGATGTGATTCAGTAGTTGAGTGCCCCTGAGTTCATTCCTTGATTACCCCCCCCCAAAAAAAATTGTGTTGCTGGTTTTTGCATATGGCTCCCTCAGTAATTATTTTAGGAAAGAGAAAAAGGGAAAGTAGGGTAATTCTGGAACCCTATCCCTTATATCACAATTTCCTCAGATCTTACCCAGGATTCTTGAATGTATGACAAATTTTCCTGGTGAGAAGGACCTTGTTTTTCCCCTCATTGTCAAAAGAGTTCCTGACTTAGGTTCAGTTTCCCTTAAAATCAGACTCTGAGACTGACCAGGATTTAGTTGCAAATAGTTTGTCCAGGAGGTAAACCCCAGGAGGTGCTCTGTAGGAATGGAGCAGTGAGACAGGAAGGGAAGGACGGTTGTTAAAGGGTACATTAACAAGGGGTTACTGTATGGCTCAGTCATGTCAGGAGACACCTGAGAACTAAAACATCTTAGAATGGTTCCACTTGACAAAGAAGGTGAGTTGTTAAAACACAATCTCCTTTTCTTCTTTAATAAGTTAACACTTGGCCTGGAGATGTAGCTCAATGGTAGTGCTTGCCTAGTATGCAAGTAGGCCCTGGGTTAATCCCCAGTACCACCAAAAAAGAAGCTCAGTACTTTGAAGAACACATTTCTGAGACCAGAAAAAGCATACAGACAATCATAGGTGCTCTTTCTCATGTATTAGGACACTGAAAGCAACCTTTGCTGCAGGCCCAAAGACTATGAGCAGGGTGTAGACAGCATCTACCATTTTGTGTAAACCTAAAACATGATAATCACTCTGGATTGAGAAACCAAGAGTGAAAACGTATTCATGCTTTGCCTTCTTACTGTCATCCCTAAGCAACTTATCAGCCTTGTATTTTGCTTTTACACCTTCAGGATAGAGAAGGAAAGACTAGGGACATCCTTAGTAATCACTAGTAAGTATAGAGCTATAATAATTCAAGTTTTATAGGTGCTTTGTGTGTGTATGTGTGTGGTACTGGAGATTAAACCCAGGACCTCACACATAAATCACTATACCTTATCCCCATCCCTGTTTTTCTTTTTTCTTTTTTTGAAACAGTCACTAAGTTGCCCAGGCTGGCCTTGAACTTGCAGTCATCCTGCCTCAGCCTCCTAAATTACAGACATGTTTACATTGCAGACATGTTTTACTATATGCCTGGCTTTATAGACCCTTTATGAAAGAAACTGAAGTCTGAACATTAATATAGAAATGTGAGAAACTAAGAAAAGCACAATTTTATGTTGCTGGGATGAACTGACTTTCTCAGTTCCCTATCAGTATATGCACTAACAATAGACTCTTAAAATCTGTTCCCTACCATCAATCCCTTTATCATATGCCAACTGTAGTGTGATGTCATCCCTTGTTATGAGAAGGGACAATAACCTTGCATAGTGTACTCTCTGCTTAGTGTCTGGAACAGTGCCGTGTAAAGGCACACGTTCAGTCATAGTGTTGATTAAAGAGTATAAAGATATATCCAAGCTTAGAATCTGAAGCCCATAAGAAACTGACATCTTGATAAATTCAGAAACGAATGTCCAAGGTGACAGGCACTCAGGTCCTATAAGATAGGTAGGTATATAGATTATTTTAGGTGGGTAGTGGGGAATCAGTCAATACAAGGAATCTTATCATTGCTAGACTTGGAGCAAGAGAGGAGCTTCAGAGTCTCCCAAGCTGACAACATGCCAGCTTGATGAGCTTCAGCTGAATTGAGCAGAAGGCAGGAAATACCTGACTGAGGTAGAACTGGTTCCTAAGTGCCATCAATGTTTCAAACAGTATCTCTTAAAGGTTTCATGTGTCTGTGCCAGCATTGGTAGTGGTACATGTCTGTAATCCCAGCTACTTGGGAGGCTGAGACAGGAAGATTACAAGTTCAAGGCTAACCTGAGTAACTTAGTAGACCTCATCTCAAAATTAATGTTTTTTTTTTATTTTTAGAAAAAGGTCTGAAGTATGACTCAATGGTAGAGAACTTGCCTACCATATGTAAGGCCATGGGTTTCATCCCCAGTAACATACACGTACACACAAAAGTGTAATATGACTAAAAATCTACTTCATTAAGATATTTATTGTAGCATTATTATAAAGGGGGAAAATTAGAAACAACCTGTGAGTCCATTGATAGAGAACTGGTAATTATATATATTATGTGGAACATCTTAGGATGCATAAGAAGTTTGTGAGTGTAATTTAACTCTAGCTGAAG